TGAATTTTATATACACATCCAACTCTCTGAAATTTCTCTGTTGGATCTTTAAATTTTGGAAAAATACAGTTTTTTAAATTATTAGAGTTAGTGAAAACTAATTTAAATTTATGTTGTTTAAATATATTAAAAAATATTTCATCAAAATTTTGAATATAAGGTATACTTATAATTTTTTCAATTGGAAAATTGTTGTTATTTATTTTTCTATGTAAGTTATTGGTAAGAGCATTATACCTCTGTGAAATCTTTCTATTTAACAGATCTATTGGGTATCCATTAAGTAGCAATGTTTTTTTAACAATGTTAAGATTTTCAAGATGAAATTGTTGATCTGACAATTTAATAGCCCTATCAACTAGAGTGTATATAATACCTATTTTATAACTTAGAGGGTGGTGTGAATAGAAATTCATATATCTGCCCGTCCATATAGATTTACGAAACCAATTTGTTTCAATAAAATTATTACTGTCAATTGAAAGGGAAAGATCTAGAAAGTTAATTTTATTATTGTTAGATAACTCTAAAGTAAATTTTAAATGTTTATCGATAGAATTGAATCTACATAATATATCGTCCACCTTATTTGAAGGTGCACAAATTAATATATCATCAATATATCGAAAATAAAAAATAATTTTATATTTGATTTTGTTTAAAATTTTATCCTCAATACCCTCCATGACAATATTAGCCGCACTTGAGGATATTGGAGAACCCATTGGTAAACCAAATATTTGTTTATAAAATTCTCCTTGGAATTGACAGTATGCCGAATTTAAACATAAATTTAAAGCTTCAAGAAAATCATCCTGCGAGAAGTTTGTGTGTTTTTCAATTTCTGACCATTTGCTTTTAATAGTGTTGTTGATTAGTGTCCAAGATATGTTTGTATACATGGAAACAACATCAAGTGAAAAGATTGTAAAATTTGGAGGAATAAAAATATTATTAAGTTTATTTTTAAAATCCCAGCTGTCTTTAATATAGTGATTATTTTCGGTATTTAGGGATTTTTTTAAAATGTTAGCTATAAGTTTTGATAGATTATATATTGGATTACCTATGAAAGATGTAATTGGTCTCATAGGGATGTTATTTTTATGTAATTTTGGTAATCCATAAAATTTTGGAGCAACACCATTTGTGCAATTGAGAAATTTATATGTGTTTTTTTCAAAGTATTTTTTATTTAAAAAAGATTTTAAAAGATTTCGTAAACAATTTTGAATGGAGATTGTAGGATCAGAATTCAATTTTTTATAAGTAGTCGTATCAGTTAAAAGATTAAGTGTTTTCGAAATATAATCATTTTTTGTTATAATAACAGTTTTGTTACATTTATCGGCAGTGGTTACAACAATATTTTTATTAGAGTTTAAAAATTTTTTTGTTTCGTTAATTTTATTAATTAGATTTACTTGAGTACAATTAAAAGTAGTTTTATTAAGTATTAAATTTTGCAACCAGTAAGATATATTCCCTCTGATAGTATTTTTAGTATCAGAGGGAATATTCCTTATGCCATATTCTACATTTGAAATTATAGTGGGGATTGGTATTTGCTTTGAAGAATATGGAAAACCAAAATTACCTCCTAGAGCTAAAATGTCAGAGACATTTTTAGGAATGTTTAATGGAGTTAAATTTTCAATCCAATTTTGATTAGTTTTTATTTTAATAATTTGTTGACTTTTTAATTTTTCGATTTTAAGTTTTGAAGAATTCTTTAGTTTAATTTGATATTTATTAAGATTTAAGTAAACTTGTTTTTTTTAAAATGTAAAAAAATCATTATTAGTTAATTGTAAAATTTTAATGTTAAAAAAATGTAAATTTTTATATAAATATTTAATCTCACTTGATATGTCAGAAAGTTCTAATTTTAAAATTTTCCTTCCGAAAAATTGAGTATTAGTTTCTAAACCATCGCAGCATGATTTTGAGAAAAAACGAAAATTCAAAAACGTGTTATTAACAATATGATCTGGCAAGATACATAAATTTTTACATACATAGAGAAATTTCCTTTGGTTCTTCCTTCGAGCGATCCTATAATTAAGTTTAATCCAATTTTTAATTTCATTCAGAGTGTGTTGTCCAAATTGATGGAGAATTCGTTCGTAAAATTCTTTATTCATGTTGATTGATGTAGAGTCTTATTGGTTTTAAGGCCAGTGTATAATAGTAGTTTTTGTTTGTTTGACCGTATTATATATTTTGTAGGATAATGAAAAGGCCTAGATACGGTTATTTTATATGATGTTTATTTTATAATCCCGACTAGTTTCGAACCATATGGTTCCTCATCAGGGGATGAACAATTTTACAGAAAATTATCCAAATATTGGACACATCATAAAAAGATTTCAAAAAGGATTAAAATATCTGAAAAAAATAATTAAAATTGTTTTAATTTTAATTTAAAAAGATTTTATGAGGTTATGTTTTAATTTGTGAAAAAAAATGAAAAAGTTTCTTACCCTTTAGAAGAACATTACAAGTATAGAAAAGGAAAAAAATTTTTTTATTGTAAAAAAAAATTTTTTTAAAAAAAAACATTTTATATTAAACAATTTAATTAATTTTATAAATTTTGTAGAAACACATTTTTTGCAAAAAATGTGCTTCTATGAACAGAGAGTTATGACAGAGAGGTTGGGTTGTGTATTAGGGTCCAGGTATGATAGGTAAAGTAGATTTCTATGTTATTAAACTTTTTAAATTATGTTTTAAAATAAGTAATTAAATTATAGTATATTTTATCTAGATTGTCAATATCTGTTCTATAATTAATACTATTAGTATTATTTTTTATATAGAACATTTCCAAATTTTTTCTTTTCCAGTTATTTATTTCAATTTGTAAAATATTTGTATTGTCAAAATCAAAAGAATGTTTATTATCAAAAGTATGATTAGTTAAAGCATTAATATTTTGGTTGTGAGTGACATATCGTTTATGTTCTTTTATTCTAGTTTTAAGATGTCTTAAGGTTTCTCCGATATAACAACTATCACAATCTTTGCATTGAATTTTATATACACATCCAACTCTCTGAAATTTCTCTGTTGGATCTTTAAATTTTGGAAAAATACAGTTTTTTAAATTATTAGAGTTAGTGAAAACTAATTTAAATTTATGTTGTTTAAATATATTAAAAAATATTTCATCAAAATTTTGAATATAAGGTATACTTATAATTTTTTCAATTGGAAAATTGTTGTTATTTATTTTTCTATGTAAGTTATTGGTAAGAGCATTATACCTCTGTGAAATCTTTCTATTTAACAGATCTATTGGGTATCCATTAAGTAGCAATGTTTTTTTAACAATGTTAAGATTTTCAAGATGAAATTGTTGATCTGACAATTTAATAGCCCTATCAACTAGAGTGTATATAATACCTATTTTATAACTTAGAGGGTGGTGTGAATAGAAATTCATATATCTGCCCGTCCATATAGATTTACGAAACCAATTTGTTTCAATAAAATTATTACTGTCAATTGAAAGGGAAAGATCTAGAAAGTTAATTTTATTATTGTTAGATAACTCTAAAGTAAATTTTAAATGTTTATCGATAGAATTGAATCTACATAATATATCGTCCACCTTATTTGAAGGTGCACAAATTAATATATCATCAATATATCGAAAATAAAAAATAATTTTATATTTGATTTTGTTTAAAATTTTATCCTCAATACCCTCCATGACAATATTAGCCGCACTTGAGGATATTGGAGAACCCATTGGTAAACCAAATATTTGTTTATAAAATTCTCCTTGGAATTGACAGTATGCCGAATTTAAACATAAATTTAAAGCTTCAAGAAAATCATCCTGCGAGAAGTTTGTGTGTTTTTCAATTTCTGACCATTTGCTTTTAATAGTGTTGTTGATTAGTGTCCAAGATATGTTTGTATACATGGAAACAACATCAAGTGAAAAGATTGTAAAATTTGGAGGAATAAAAATATTATTAAGTTTATTTTTAAAATCCCAGCTGTCTTTAATATAGTGATTATTTTCGGTATTTAGGGATTTTTTTAAAATGTTAGCTATAAGTTTTGATAGATTATATATTGGATTACCTATGAAAGATGTAATTGGTCTCATAGGGATGTTATTTTTATGTAATTTTGGTAATCCATAAAATTTTGGAGCAACACCATTTGTGCAATTGAGAAATTTATATGTGTTTTTTTCAAAGTATTTTTTATTTAAAAAAGATTTTAAAAGATTTCGTAAACAATTTTGAATGGAGATTGTAGGATCAGAATTCAATTTTTTATAAGTAGTCGTATCAGTTAAAAGATTAAGTGTTTTCGAAATATAATCATTTTTTGTTATAATAACAGTTTTGTTACATTTATCGGCAGTGGTTACAACAATATTTTTATTAGAGTTTAAAAATTTTTTTGTTTCGTTAATTTTATTAATTAGATTTACTTGAGTACAATTAAAAGTAGTTTTATTAAGTATTAAATTTTGCAACCAGTAAGATATATTCCCTCTGATAGTATTTTTAGTATCAAACAAACAAAAACTACTATTATACACTGGCCTTAAAACCAATAAGACTCTACATCAATCAACATGAATAAAGAATTTTACGAACGAATTCTCCATCAATTTGGACAACACACTCTGAATGAAATTAAAAATTGGATTAAACTTAATTATAGGATCGCTCGAAGGAAGAACCAAAGGAAATTTCTCTATGTATGTAAAAATTTATGTATCTTGCCAGATCATATTGTTAATAACACGTTTTTGAATTTTCGTTTTTTCTCAAAATCATGCTGCGATGGTTTAGAAACTAATACTCAATTTTTCGGAAGGAAAATTTTAAAATTAGAACTTTCTGACATATCAAGTGAGATTAAATATTTATATAAAAATTTACATTTTTTTAACATTAAAATTTTACAATTAACTAATAATGATTTTTTTACATTTTAAAAAAAACAAGTTTACTTAAATCTTAATAAATATCAAATTAAACTAAAGAATTCTTCAAAACTTAAAATCGAAAAATTAAAAAGTCAACAAATTATTAAAATAAAAACTAATCAAAATTGGATTGAAAATTTAACTCCATTAAACATTCCTAAAAATGTCTCTGACATTTTAGCTCTAGGAGGTAATTTTGGTTTTCCATATTCTTCAAAGCAAATACCAATCCCCACTATAATTTCAAATGTAGAATATGGCATAAGGAATATTCCCTCTGATACTAAAAATACTATCAGAGGGAATATATCTTACTGGTTGCAAAATTTAATACTTAATAAAACTACTTTTAATTGTACTCAAGTAAATCTAATTAATAAAATTAACGAAACAAAAAAATTTTTAAACTCTAATAAAAATATTGTTGTAACCACTGCCGATAAATGTAACAAAACTGTTATTATAACAAAAAATGATTATATTTCGAAAACACTTAATCTTTTAACTGATACGACTACTTATAAAAAATTGAATTCTGATCCTACAATCTCCATTCAAAATTGTTTACGAAATCTTTTAAAATCTTTTTTAAATAAAAAATACTTTGAAAAAAACACATATAAATTTCTCAATTGCACAAATGGTGTTGCTCCAAAATTTTATGGATTACCAAAATTACATAAAAATAACATCCCTATGAGACCAATTACATCTTTCATAGGTAATCCAATATATAATCTATCAAAACTTATAGCTAACATTTTAAAAAAATCCCTAAATACCGAAAATAATCACTATATTAAAGACAGCTGGGATTTTAAAAATAAACTTAATAATATTTTTATTCCTCCAAATTTTACAATCTTTTCACTTGATGTTGTTTCCATGTATACAAACATATCTTGGACACTAATCAACAACACTATTAAAAGCAAATGGTCAGAAATTGAAAAACACACAAACTTCTCGCAGGATGATTTTCTTGAAGCTTTAAATTTATGTTTAAATTCGGCATACTGTCAATTCCAAGGAGAATTTTATAAACAAATATTTGGTTTACCAATGGGTTCTCCAATATCCTCAAGTGCGGCTAATATTGTCATGGAGGGTATTGAGGATAAAATTTTAAACAAAATCAAATATAAAATTATTTTTTATTTTCGATATATTGATGATATATTAATTTGTGCACCTTCAAATAAGGTGGACGATATATTATGTAGATTCAATTCTATCGATAAACATTTAAAATTTACTTTAGAGTTATCTAACAATAATAAAATTAACTTTCTAGATCTTTCCCTTTCAATTGACAGTAATAATTTTATTGAAACAAATTGGTTTCGTAAATCTATATGGACGGGCAGATATATGAATTTCTATTCACACCACCCTCTAAGTTATAAAATAGGTATTATATACACTCTAGTTGATAGGGCTATTAAATTGTCAGATCAACAATTTCATCTTGAAAATCTTAACATTGTTAAAAAAACATTGCTACTTAATGGATACCCAATAGATCTGTTAAATAGAAAGATTTCACAGAGGTATAATGCTCTTACCAATAACTTACATAGAAAAATAAATAACAACAATTTTCCAATTGAAAAAATTATAAGTATACCTTATATTCAAAATTTTGATGAAATATTTTTTAATATATTTAAACAACATAAATTTAAATTAGTTTTCACTAACTCTAATAATTTAAAAAACTGTATTTTTCCAAAATTTAAAGATCCAACAGAGAAATTTCAGAGAGTTGGATGTGTATATAAAATTCAATGCAAAGATTGTGATAGTTGTTATATCGGAGAAACCTTAAGACATCTTAAAACTAGAATAAAAGAACATAAACGATATGTCACTCACAACCAAAATATTAATGCTTTAACTAATCATACTTTTGATAATAAACATTCTTTTGATTTTGACAATACAAATATTTTACAAATTGAAATAAATAACTGGAAAAGAAAAAATTTGGAAATGTTCTATATAAAAAATAATACTAATAGTATTAATTATAGAACAGATATTGACAATCTAGATAAAATATACTATAATTTAATTACTTATTTTAAAACATAATTTAAAAAGTTTAATAACATAGAAATCTACTTTACCTATCATACCTGGACCCTAATACACAACCCAACCTCTCTGTCATAACTCTCTGTTCATAGAAGCACATTTTTTGCAAAAAATGTGTTTCTACAAAATTTATAAAATTAATTAAATTGTTTAATATAAAATGTTTTTTTTTTAAAAAATTTTTTTTTTACAATAAAAAAATTTTTTTCCTTTTCTATACTTGTAATGTTCTTCTAAAGGGTAAGAAACTTTTTCATTTTTTTTCACAAATTAAAACATAACCTCATAAAATCTTTTTAAATTAAAATTAAAACAATTTTAATTATTTTTTTCAGATATTTTAATCCTTTTTGAAATCTTTTTATGATGTGTCCAATATTTGGATAATTTTCTGTAAAATTGTTCATCCCCTGATGAGGAACCATATGGTTCGAAACTAGTCGGGATTATAAAATAAACATCATATAAAATAACCGTATCTAGGCCTTTTCATTATCCTACAAAATATATAATACGGTCAAACAAACAAAAACTACTATTATACACTGGCCTTAAAACCAATAAGACTCTACATCAATCAACATGAATAAAGAATTTTACGAACGAATTCTCCATCAATTTGGACAACACACTCTGAATGAAATTAAAAATTGGATTAAACTTAATTATAGGATCGCTCGAAGGAAGAACCAAAGGAAATTTCTCTATGTATGTAAAAATTTATGTATCTTGCCAGATCATATTGTTAATAACACGTTTTTGAATTTTCGTTTTTTCTCAAAATCATGCTGCGATGGTTTAGAAACTAATACTCAATTTTTCGGAAGGAAAATTTTAAAATTAGAACTTTCTGACATATCAAGTGAGATTAAATATTTATATAAAAATTTACATTTTTTTAACATTAAAATTTTACAATTAACTAATAATGATTTTTTTACATTTTTAAAAAAACAAGTTTACTTAAATCTTAATAAATATCAAATTAAACTAAAGAATTCTTCAAAACTTAAAATCGAAAAATTAAAAAGTCAACAAATTATTAAAATAAAAACTAATCAAAATTGGATTGAAAATTTAACTCCATTAAACATTCCTAAAAATGTCTCTGACATTTTAGCTCTAGGAGGTAATTTTGGTTTTCCATATTCTTCAAAGCAAATACCAATCCCCACTATAATTTCAAATGTAGAATATGGCATAAGGAATATTCCCTCTGATACTAAAAATACTATCAGAGGGAATATATCTTACTGGTTGCAAAATTTAATACTTAATAAAACTACTTTTAATTGTACTCAAGTAAATCTAATTAATAAAATTAACGAAACAAAAAAATTTTTAAACTCTAATAAAAATATTGTTGTAACCACTGCCGATAAATGTAACAAAACTGTTATTATAACAAAAAATGATTATATTTCGAAAACACTTAATCTTTTAACTGATACGACTACTTATAAAAAATTGAATTCTGATCCTACAATCTCCATTCAAAATTGTTTACGAAATCTTTCAAATCTTTTTTAAATAAAAAATACTTTGAAAAAAACACATATAAATTTCTCAATTGCACAAATGGTGTTGCTCCAAAATTTTATGGATTACCAAAATTACATAAAAATAACATCCCTATGAGACCAATTACATCTTTCATAGGTAATCCAATATATAATCTATCAAAACTTATAGCTAACATTTTAAAAAAATCCCTAAATACCGAAAATAATCACTATATTAAAGACAGCTGGGATTTTAAAAATAAACTTAATAATATTTTTATTCCTCCAAATTTTACAATCTTTTCACTTGATGTTGTTTCCATGTATACAAACATATCTTGGACACTAATCAACAACACTATTAAAAGCAAATGGTCAGAAATTGAAAAACACACAAACTTCTCGCAGGATGATTTTCTTGAAGCTTTAAATTTATGTTTAAATTCGGCATACTGTCAATTCCAAGGAGAATTTTATAAACAAATATTTGGTTTACCAATGGGTTCTCCAATATCCTCAAGTGCGGCTAATATTGTCATGGAGGGTATTGAGGATAAAATTTTAAACAAAATCAAATATAAAATTATTTTTTATTTTCGATATATTGATGATATATTAATTTGTGCACCTTCAAATAAGGTGGACGATATATTATGTAGATTCAATTCTATCGATAAACATTTAAAATTTACTTTAGAGTTATCTAACAATAATAAAATTAACTTTCTAGATCTTTTCCTTTCAATTGACAGTAATAATTTTATTGAAACAAATTGGTTTCGTAAATCTATATGGACGGGCAGATATATGAATTTCTATTCACACCACCCTCTAAGTTATAAAATAGGTATTATATACACTCTAGTTGATAGGGCTATTAAATTGTCAGATCAACAATTTCATCTTGAAAATCTTAACATTGTTAAAAAAACATTGCTACTTAATGGATACCCAATAGATCTGTTAAATAGAAAGATTTCACAGAGGTATAATGCTCTTACCAATAACTTACATAGAAAAATAAATAACAACAATTTTCCAATTGAAAAAATTATAAGTATACCTTATATTCAAAATTTTGATGAAATATTTTTTAATATATTTAAACAACATAAATTTAAATTAGTTTTCACTAACTCTAATAATTTAAAAAACTGTATTTTTCCAAAATTTAAAGATCCAACAGAGAAATTTCAGAGAGTTGGATGTGTATATAAAATTCAATGCAAAGATTGTGATAGTTGTTATATCGGAGAAACCTTAAGACATCTTAAAACTAGAATAAAAGAACATAAACGATATGTCACTCACAACCAAAATATTAATGCTTTAACTAATCATACTTTTGATAATAAACATTCTTTTGATTTTGACAATACAAATATTTTACAAATTGAAATAAATAACTGGAAAAGAAAAAATTTGGAAATGTTCTATATAAAAAATAATACTAATAGTATTAATTATAGAACAGATATTGACAATCTAGATAAAATATACTATAATTTAATTACTTATTTTAAAACATAATTTAAAAAGTTTAATAACATAGAAATCTACTTTACCTATCATACCTGGACCCTAATACACAACCCAACCTCTCTGTCATAACTCTCTGTTCATAGAAGCACATTTTTTGCAAAAAATGTGTTTCTACAAAATTTATAAAATTAATTAAATTGTTTAATATAAAATGTTTTTTTTTTAAAAAATTTTTTTTTTACAATAAAAAAATTTTTTTCCTTTTCTATACTTGTAATGTTCTTCTAAAGGGTAAGAAACTTTTTCATTTTTTTTCACAAATTAAAACATAACCTCATAAAATCTTTTTAAATTAAAATTAAAACAATTTTAATTATTTTTTTCAGATATTTTAATCCTTTTTGAAATCTTTTTATGATGTGTCCAATATTTGGATAATTTTCTGTAAAATTGTTCATCCCCTGATGAGGAACCATATGGTTCGAAACTAGTCGGGATTATAAAATAAACATCATATAAAATAACCGTATCTAGGCCTTTTCATTATCCTACAAAAAAGGATTTTTGTAATGTTACAGACTCTCAATAAAAAAATTAAAATCTAAATATTTTTTACTGTTTAATGTGAAGAAAGTACTAGTTACTTAAGTGTCTAAAAATCATCAAAATTTTCATGAAATTTGATCTTTAATCAACTGTAACACTCTTAATTTTTATTGAATCTTATACTATGACATATGGATCGATAGGTAATTTAATTATCTTTACAATGACACCCTAGTCATTATATTTTTACATTTATATTTATGTTAAAAATGAAAAAACACTTAATTTTTAACGTTTTTATGGTCCAAAGGCTCTGAACCAGGGGTTAATATTAAAAATTTTTATTTCCAAATATTGTGTTCTTATTTTTACACAAATTGAAAGATTTTTAGGGGATGAAAACCATATAAAAAAACTTTTTATTTTTTTGGGTCACCCTACTGCGCGTGCAGCCGTACCGACAATTCCCGACGGTAGTGTATGTCCGCCAATTTGGATCCACCATTTTGAATTTTTAAAAATGATGGTCAAATTCGAATTCAGCGACCCGAAAACCCTTAGATACTGAAATTGATAGAAATCCAAATGAATTTCAAAAATTATGTCCGCCATTTTGAATCCGCCATTTTGAATTTTTTAAAATTAAGGTCAAATTCGAATTCACCGACCCCAAAAACCCTTATACACTAAATGTGACTTAAATTAAAAAAATATTCATGAATTTTACTTGTTTTTAAATTGTTATATTATTTCAAAATAATAAATAATCATTTATTTATTACTCATTCTAAGATCATTGCAATCTATAGTGTGTTAATAATGATATAAAAGAATTTATTTTATAATTTACATAAGAAATTGCATTTATTCTGCGCTGAGGGCAAAAAGGACATCTTTTTTCACGACCCAATAACAGGCAACGGGTTAACAGAAAAATAATTTTTAAAATTCAAACCTATTTTTTTACTAAATTCTCTTGAAAAATATACATCATATAATGTTTTATATATTTTGTAGAATAGTTTTTTGTCCAAAAAAATTATTTCAAATTTAATTTTTTGTGTATAACTTTGAGTGATGCACGTCGGACGAGACGATCGGGAAACAACGATTACGATAAAAACGATCGTCTTTTTAAACATTATTATCGTTCGGTTCGTCATCGGATCGACAATCTCGACAAACTGTCGATCAAATGAAGTATGTGTCGAAACTGTCATTCGACTGCATAAAATTGTTAGAAAATTTTAATTTTTATAAATAACTAATGATAAAAAAATCAATAAATTTGTTGTTAACATTATAGATTTATTAAACAGTAAGTAAATGTTACTCTTGAAGTAAATGAATTCATGGATTAAAAGTTTTTAAATTTATGTAAAGGTTAATACTTGTAATTTAAATAGGTTAAAACTTAAACAAAAAAATACATTTTACAAAATAAATTATTTTATATTATACTATTATTGTAAATAGATAACTAATTTTTTGATTTTCACATAATCAAGTTAAAAGTAAATTTTAGTAATGAAAATTTTCAAATCTGGACATTACAATAGTTTGCATGTAAATTTTGTATTAATTTTAAATTACTATTGCTTAAAAAATATTTAAAATAATTAATGAATTTTTATTACGTTTAATTTGATATATTTCTTTTAATAGATAACGAGATACTAAGCCATTAAGGACCAATAATTTTATAAATTACGTTTTTAATAAATAACATACAACAGAAAAAATTTTTAATACATTTTATTTATATAATAAAGCAGTTTTTAATATTTAATCCAGACAATTATTAGTAAACTTTAAAATAAGTGAGGGGTCTTCCATAAGCAACGTGATCCCATTTTTTTGAAGTCTTTCAGCATGAACCGATGTTGCCTGTACACTGAACAAATCGCGAGTTATTTTAGCTAGAGTCGGATATAATGATTGATTTTTCTGACACCATTTTTACGTAGAATTTCAAAAACTTTTTTCATTTCCGCATATCTCTTCGCAGTCAAATTTCCAAGTTCGTTTCTCAAGGGTACATTAGCATTCGGATTTAAGTAATGAAATAGTTTTTGTGTATCAGAGTCAGAGAGAAAAGAAAATTGCAAATATTTCTTCGCAATTAAATCTACGATTTTTTCATTGCACGTTCCGTGCACAAAAACCTATAGTAAATATTGTGACGTGGCACAATTTTGCACGTTATTTATAATTGAGTTTTGTTATAAACAAAATAAACATCCTTGCGCCAATGTTGATGGCTGCAGCAATTACTCAATTCTAGTCAATTTGTTTATTTATAGAATTTATTTGTTTATATTATTGTATTCCCTTTCACGAAAACACTTCCCTTTGAATTCGAATTTGAGATATTTCCCGGCTATCGTCTTGCAAGCAGAAAGGATGATCATCACGTCTGCGCAGATTCGACTTTCCGTTCACTCACAGCAGAAAACTACAACGTCAACCAAAATAAAAATCGAATTGACTCGATATACCTGTCACTTTTAAATTCAACCTACACAAAAGTCATCTCACAAATAACCCTTTGAGTAAATTAGAATTATTTTCTACATTTACCAGATTTTACTGGAATCTCAAAAATGTTAAGAGATTGACTATTGAACAGGATGGTCCCTGTCATTTCTCTATTTCGTAAAGAGACACCTTTTGCCCAGGCCCGAATTCTCATGTCACTAACCTCAACTTTTCCCCTTTTTGATTTTGATTAATTTTGACTAATTACCTTTCCCTTTACGAGTGACAATAAGAGAATTTTGGAGGTTGACGATAAGGAAGATAAGAATTAAAAAGTAAAAATCTCAGGAAGCGAGAAATTACTAACTTAAATTATACCCCGGTGTCACTATTTTCGAAAGTAATTACGCTCCTGTTTTCGGCGGAGTAATACAAGTTTTGGGACCATGGTAACCGGCGGGGTGAACGGAGGGGAGGAATCACGGCAGCATGCTCGCAAGGAAAATCCTAATCGCTCTCTCTGGATCTGACCGCCTTCGAAGGAAGCTATTTTCAAAGAAGTTCTCATCCAAATTTTCCAGTTTTCCTTTTTGTTATAATTTGTGTGTGTGCTGACGCTGGAAATCTCTCGAGTGGAGCGTCGCATAGCAAAATGTAAGTCAGGTCACAGTATTTTCTTAACTTCTTTTATTTTGTATAAAAATGTAAATTTTCCTTTTTCTTTTAAAATGTAACAAGTGGTTCAGCCGGCCTCATGGCCAAGCGAGAAAATGTTACTAGTTTGATGGTTTTCAAATAGATAATGTGTAAATTTGCAGTTATTCGTTTTATAAAATTTTTCTTATTCTCGCTTGACCATGCTGCCAGTATTTCTCAGCCTTTTTGTCTATTCTTAATTTCAGTTATGTTATAAAATTTCAATTAATTGTGTAATTGGTGTTAAGTTTGTGAAAATTGTAAATGAAGTTGTCTCATTTTCAATTATTTCGTCCCATTTACAAATTTTACCTTTCTGATTAAATGGAATTGTCCCTTTTTATTAGTTTGTCCCTTATATCCGATTTTATTGAGAAAATCCTTAATTAATAAATAGAGTTGTTCTATTTATAATTGTTAATTAATTTTCGTGTCCCTTATACCCGAATTTATTGAGAAAATCCCTAATAAATAATTAGAGTTGTTCTAATTATAATTACTAATTAATTTTCGTGTCCCTTATACCCGAATTTATTGAGAAAATCCCTAATAAATAATTAGAGTTGTTTTATTTATAATTGTTAATTAATTATCGTGTCCCTTATATCCGATTTTATTGAGAAATTCCGTAATTAATAAATAGAGTTGTTCTATTTATAATTGTTAATTAATTATCGTGTCCCTTACATCCGATTTTATTGATAAATTCCTTAATTAATAAATAGAGTTGTTCTATTTATAATTGTTAATTAATTATCGTGTCCCTTACATCCGATTTTATTGATAAATTCCTTAATTAATAAATAGAGTTGTTTTATTTATAATTGTTAATTAATTATCGTGTCCCTTATATCCGATTTTATTGAGAAATTCCCTAATTAATAAGTAGAGTTGTTCCATTTATAATTGCTAATTAATTATTTTGTCCCTTATGTTTGACTCTATTGAGAGATTCCTATTTTTAATAAATGGAATTTGTCCCATTTACAACCAAATTTGTCCCTTATTTTGTGAAATTTAATGATTTTGACAAACTGTTTATCCCGTTTTCCCCAATTTTATGTGTAATATTTTTAGATATAAGTTGTAATTTTGTTATAATAATTTTTGGCTGACCACATATTAATTCATTGACCTAGCGATATTAAGAATGTTGTTTTATAATTGTAAATTTGTTGTACGATTTTCCATTAATTTTATTGTTAAAATAAATTGTTATTTAATTGTAAAATTACTGAATATGATTTTCTCGAATCCCCCCTCCTCCGTCTTTTGCTAGTCGACCGGCATCGAAATTAATATTGAATTGAGATTTATAAATTCAAGGAATTTAATAATAAATTTTCTTTTTGTCTTTTATAGAATTTAGTTCTATTATTTTGCCTTTGCTTTTATTTATATAATTTTTGGTATTTAGTACCTATTATTGCGTTTATTTTGGATATTTAGTATCCGCTTCTTTTGAAACTGTCCCAAGAAAGGACTGGCGCTCAACAATTTCGTTTATTTAAAAATTCCTTTATTTATTATTTTGTCAATATATTATTATTAATTTCAAAATTATTGTTCGGACCAGAAATCTTTGGCTTATCGTAAGTATTTATTTTTGTTGTTTGTTTATTTATTTCAGAGTTTATGATTCTGTTTATAAAATTTCATTTGTTTATAAATACTCCCGTGTTTGGCAAATTATACCTATTTGTTTTTGATATTTACTATTGTTGAAAAAGGTCTGGTTACAATATATAATATATAATTTACTTTTTAAATTTTTATTTACTTTATAATTACTTTTTAAATAAATTAGAAATTTTTAATTATTAGAATTCTATTAATTATTACATTTTTTCAAATTAAATAATCAAAAATAAATATATAAAAAAAACTTTCTTCATTGATTGACTTTTGGCTATTTCATTCCACGATTCATTAAATAATATTAAAATGCATTTTATTTTTACTTTTTTTAATTAAAAAAAATTGTTTCTGTGTTTGTAAAGTAGTTTTAAATATGAACGAATCTGTCAACAAATAAATTTTTTTTTATTTAAATGATAGATTTTGATTTTCGTTTTCAGTACTGTACAAAATAAAAAATTAGTAAACATTTTTTTATTGTACAGTTACTTCTTAAATTAATTTTTTTTCTTTTTAACGATTTATTTTTTTTAAAAAAATTTTATTTTTAAATAAATAAATTATTTATAAAAAATATTATTAATTTTTTAACCTTATATAATAAAAAAAATTTTTTTTTTAAATTAACCTCAACTGATTGTTATTTTTCGCTTTTTTATTGCCAGACGAATTTCTTCTTCAATGTTCGTCTTCAGACATGTCAAAATTCAGAAATACTTAAATATTATATTTTTCTAATTAATGATAATAAATTTAATAATTTGTAAACACATTGTCACTCAAGACATTTACAGCCGATTTTTTTCGAACGAACCAAGACGATAAAATAATGATTTTTTAAAAATATCTTACACAGAAATAGAATTGTTAAATCTCAATACTCAATAATCTAATTCTTTTCACTTACATTACAATTCAACACTTTTTATTTTGGAAATTTCATATTTTGGTTAATTTATATTCTGGACATTTCGGGCCTTGAAAATTTTGTATTGTAGAAAAATAATTTTTGGATCGTTTGATTTTGGAACTGTTTTCTGTTTTTGAATTCCGTTTGGAACTTTTGTACCCCAATCATTTTATTTTACATTTTTTTCATTTACCTGAAAATGGTCGGTCTCTGAATTTTGACCAATATAGTATATCAAATATTCAATTAATTAAGGGGTAAGGCCACTGGAGAATTTTCAAAACATACATTTTTTTTATTATCTGAAAAAATTCTTTGAACCTTGTAGAATATAGAGCAAAAGGTTTTATACGTGTCTGAAATCGATTTAATTGAAATTTTAAGCCCTTTTACCGAGCGCGCCGGTCCGTTCCGCAACGACTACCTGCGTCTGATGGCTACCTGTTTGGGCAGAAACTGCTTAGATGATGATGATACTTATACAGAAGGATGTCTATATGATGCTTCAATTACAGATTAACGGTAAAAAATTTTTTAAAGTAAAATTTTTCAATTCTTCATAGGTATGTTGCATATAATCTCAAAACTTTAAACGCGTATTTCTCAAAACACGTTTTTTGAAATTGGCACGCAGCATAACTCAAACAATTTCCAATATTTTTAATCGGATTTTTTCTTACATCTTTATAATAACATTTCAAAGAGAATGACGTACGGGATTTTTAATAACTACTTAATTTATACATTTGTTATGAACAATTTAGTGCCGTTTTTTTGGTCGAAAAATGAATTTTTTTTTCATATGCTGGCCAATTTCACAAAAATCAATAATTTTTAAATCACCTACGTCATTCTGTAGCTATTGACATGTAGATAAAGAAATTTTTTTTATTTTGTTCCAGATTAAATTTTTCACCCTATGTGCTACGTGCCGCGGAGCTCTTTAAAAAAAGCATCTTATTAAAATGTCCGTAATTCCGCCATTTTGTATTTTTTGTTGTTGAAAATTTACATTTTTTTAGTTGAATGTATGATTAATAACATACTACATTATTATAATTGTATTCGCTTTCCTTCCAACAAAAAAAAATTCTTGAAAACTGGAATTTTTTTGGCGTTTACAGTGGCCTTACCCCTTAAGTGAAATAAATAAATTATGTTTCAAATAACTCATTATTTGGGTTTCAAAAAGTTATTTATTTGATCCAAATATTTTTTATTTGTTTCCATTAAATAATATATTTGCATTCAAAAATGCATTATTTGAATTAAATAGTTTAGTTTACGTGAAGCGATGAAATAATTATGTTGTCAAATAATGTTTATTTGTATAAAAAAATATCCAATTAGTTGAATAAAATAAATAAATTGATTGTTCTAAATAACTCATATATATTTGTATTTAATAAATATATTTATTAGAGTCAATTAATTATTTTGTTGACCCAATTAAAATTTATTTGACTCAAATAAATGTGATTTAAATAATTTAAATTATTTTAGTCAAATAAATATTTATTAGATACAAATAAAAATTATATAAATCAAATAAATGTTTTTCAAATAACTTGAATTATTAAATCAAATAATTTTTTTCTCAGTACAAGGCGACTGCACCAGAGGTAGATCTTAAGTACCTTAAGTTTCTTATTTTGTTTATAAATTATTACTGAATGCGGAGTTTCGCTTGAGCTTTCGATGGGAAAGGTTGTGTTTATTTGAGCTCTTAAACACGACTGTTTATCTCTGTTAAAGTGATTTATTTTAACATGAACAATAAAGTACTGCAATTTTTGCTTCTTTTATTCTTTTATAACAATACAAAAGTGATTAATTCAAACTAAAGTTTGTTCTGTATCAGTGAAATAAGTGCATATCCGGACCGTTTTTAAAGTTTAAACACTATCTTCCAAATGTGATTTTTGTTTGTTATGTCAAAACTGCAAATTTTCAATACAAATTTTCTATACAAAAATTTTATTATAATTTAATTCATTGTTAGTCAATCACGATGAGTTCCAACGAGGAAGAGAGATGGAATAGTTTATTTACCCGCATCAATGACATTGCAAATTCACAATTAGTAATTAATTTTTAGATTTATTGTAGGTTAACACAAGTAAAACACACAATGTCTTTATTAGAACTTAGTTTATTCGAACAGTCTAACTTATACACACATTTATCTTGAGATCATGAAATTATAGTAATGTATTTTAAAGAACGTAATATAGTAATACTTGAGGTGGCGCGCAACACAGCAGCGCATAGTTCACGAACTATTTCAAATGAGCTCAGGGGCGGACACACCAAATTTCCAATACTCCCTCCTGTTTGCATCTTGACTCATCTCTCATCTGGATCTCAGCTTAATTAGTTCCTGAAAAATAAAAGTATTAAACATCTAAATTCATTATCTTATCTACTAGGTTTTTGTGTATGCTAAATGACAAGGGTTTTGTAAATATATCTGCCAATTGGTCCTTTGATTTTATCTATCTAATCTTAATTAAATTTCTTTTCACGCATTCTTTTATGTGGTGTTCTTTTATTTCTATAATATGCCGTAGTTTGTTACCACCATTTGTTTCCGCACCTATACCTGCTGCTTTATTATCGCACCATAAAATCATCGGGGTTAATGTTTCTTTTAAAATTGTTTTCAATGAATCATATAGCGACAGTAATTCTTGACTCGTCTCACTCATCGCAACGTATTCAGCTTGACATGTGGACAATGCTACATATGATTGTTTGTGAGTTTTCCAAGCTATTGGATCTCCATATAATTTGATCAAAAATCCACTTGTTGTGAGAGAATTTTTACAATCAACAAAGCTCGCGCCTGAAAAAGCTTGAATGTCGTTTGTCTCACCTAAATATCGTAATTCTAATGTTTTTGTCCCTTTAAGATATCTGAATACTCGTTTTACCATTATCCAATCTTCTTCCGTTGGATTGATTTGATGTCTACTTAAAATGTTGACTGCGTATATAATGTCTGGTCTCGTCGTAGTCGCTAGGTGTAACAAACTTCCCACGGCTTCTCTATATGGAATGTTATTCTTATTTTCAGTTTGATTTAAATTATTAGTATCATTTTCAGATTCTCTCATCTTTCTATTTTTGTTTATTACTTGTGAAGTATTCATTGGTGTTCTTTGAGGATATGACTCTTCAAATCCAAATTTCTTTAAAATGTTGTCAATGAATTTTTCTTGATCTAATTCAATGATTTTCTTATCTCTTTTTCTTTTCATTTGAATTCCTAGAAATTCTTTTGGCTCACCTAAAATATTCATTTCGAATTCTTTACTTACATTATTTTCAACTTTACGCATCTTGTTTTTGTCATTGCTCGCCATAATTATATCGTCAACATACACCAATAAAATTAGTAATTTTTCACCTTCTCGCCAGTTGAATAGGCATGGTTCTAAATTTGTATTTTTCAAACCCATCTTTAAATACTGCTTTTGTGAATTTTTCATTCCAACGTTTTGAACTTATTCGTAGTCCATACATTGCTTTTTCTAGTTTACACACCTTTTCTTTACTTTCTTTTTCTGAAAATGACGCACCTTCTGGAATTTCCATATAGATTTTCTCTTCTAAAGCACCATTTAAGAATGCCGTTTTCACATCTAATTGGCTCATTTCAAGATTGTATTTGTTTGTAATCGCTAATACTGCTCTTACTAAAGGTAATCTTGAAATGGGGGCATATGTTTCTTTGAGTTTGTAAATGTTTTGATCTTTAAATCCTCTGATAACTAATCGCGCCTTAAATTTAGTTTTCCCTTCTGAATCTATTTTTTGTTTAAAGATCCATTTCGAATCAATTATTGTTGCTTTTTGACCATCTTTCATCTTAATTGGTCTATCAACTATTTTCCATACTTTATTTTTCTTCATGGAAACTAATTCTTCTTCAATGGAATTTTTCCATTCCTTTTATTTGTCATTTGCATCGCATTTTTGAAATTTATTGGATCCAAATTTATTTTTGCCAATAGAGCATGTGTTTCTTCCTCGGTTATTAACTTTGACTCATCTTGAACAACATCTTTTAAGGAATTTTCTATAGATGTATTTGTGACCTTTTTACTTTCTTTTTCAGGTTCAATCTGTACTTTATTTTTCCTAAGTCTCCCTCTTTTTCTTTTAATTTCTCCCTCCGGTTTTAATTGTTCCTCTGAATTGTTCTCATATTTATCGAATTTTGTAAACCACACATCTTTGTTTGATTCTTGAAACTCAGGGAAGTCTTGGATACTATTTTTCTTGTATTTATCGCCATAAGCTATTTTTTCATTAAACCTTACATCTCGTCTTTCATAATATTTTTCATCTTCGGGTCTTAGAAATAGATATCCTGTGGGTGTGTATCTAATTAGGATAACTCGTCTTCCAATCGCTCTGAATTTTGGTCCTGTTTTTCTTTGAAACTTTAATGCAGGCTACGCATCCAAATCTTTTTATTTTATTTATATTAAAATTGTGTTCAGGAGCAAATTTTTCTAATGGGGTCATATCATTCGATTTATGTAGGGTACGATTGTACGCATAAACTGCTGCCGTTAGCGCTAAATCCCACAAGTTTTCCGGTAACAACGCGTCATAAATGTAGCATCTCACCTTTTTCTGAATTGTTTGATTGCAACGTTCTGACACGCCATTATGCTGTGGTGTATCAGGACTGGCTAATTGTAATTCCACGCCTAATTTGTTTAAAACCTCAATGGTATATCCCTCTGTGAATTCTGTACCTTGATCGGTTCTTAAATAGCACACTTTTGCGTCGTGACCTAATAAATTTTTAGCACTTCTTATAAACATTTCGAAACAATGTCCGGTTTCGCTTTTTGTCTTCATGGGATGTGCCATTGCAAATATCGAGAAATCATCTATAAATACGGATATATATTTATATCTTTTCGGATAGGATGTTGGGGTAATCGGTCCCATTAAATCAGCATGTACAATTTGTAATGGTTTTGTGGCACGTCTTCTAGTTGATTTAAATGGTAATTTATTAAATTTCGAAATCAAGCAAATTTCACAATTTTCTAATTAATCGTTAAAGTTAATTTCGTTTAATTCTTTATTTTCAGGGAATTTAAATCGTAGTGCTTTTAAATACGCGACCGATGCGTGCCAAAATCTCACATGCCAAATCATTGCTTTGTTTTCTTTGAGTATTCCTGTTTTGGATATCCCGTTTTTGTCAATTAAATAAATTTCCTTGTCTAGTATGTCTACATAAGATTATTATATTATTATCTATACATAAGAACTTATTATTTTGAGTCAATTTTTTATTTGTTTCGTTTTGTTCTGTATTATTGATCGCTTCTTTCTCGTCATTTTTAAATTGAATTATCTCATGATCATCTTGTTTTTGTTCAATTTCTTTTAGTTGTTTTTGTATCTCATCATTTGCATTTTTAATTTTTCTTTTTCTTCGTTCGCTACGCTTCTGGTAATATATTTTCTAATCAAAGTCTCGTTTTCTGTTAAATTTGCGAAAATTTGTTTATTATTGAATTTTGATTGTTTCCTGTCATTAAACTCGTCATTAAAAATTTGTAATTCAATGATCCAATATGGTTTGTTATAAATTCCCGTAATGAATAACTCTTTTGATTTAGGATTGAAAATATTAATTTCTTTATTATCTAGATAAATGCCTAAACCCATATCTGCAAATTTTCTTAACGACAACAAATTTTCCTTTAAAGATTCTGCGAAAATAACTTTATCTACTGTAAAAATATTTCCGTTTTCTGGTTTTATATTAACTTTTCCTACTCCTTCAGTTTGTAAATCTGCAGAGCTATTTTTATTCGCACTTTTGATCACGCCTTTATTAAATTTATCTAATTCTTTGAATATTAATTTTGAGTTTGATAAATGTTCAGTCGAGCCTGAATCTGCTATAAATTTTGAAAAGGATTCCGAATTTATTAATTCAAAATTCTCATCATTCGAATTTACAAAGTAATTTTTAATTTTTTGTACATTGTACTCACCTTTTTTATTTTTCACTTCTTGTTGTTTTTATGGTTTATCCTTTCCTTTTTGTTTGTTTTGTAAATTTTGTTTGTTATAATTGTAGTTATTACCAAAATTTGAGAAACCACTTCTACTTCTACCACTTCTACCTCTAGGACTAAAACGACTTCTTTTTGCTATTAAGGGGGGTTGTTCATTTGCTCGTCTTTTATGTGCTCTCTTTTGCACATCATAATTATTATTAAATTGTTTGTTCCTTAAATTTCCTCGTCCTCTTGAACCATAAGATGTTGACGGTGTCGGATCATATGGACATGACGTCGCAATATGGTCTCCAAACCTGTTACATTTGTAACATAGAATGCCCTTGCTTTTGTTTGGACAGTTTGATGCTATGTGGCCGGAACTCTGACACTTGTAGCATCTAACGGACTCTTTCTTCGCGTAATTTACTGCCCTCACGTCTTTGGTTTCGGTACTCATCGTTTGTTTTCTCGTTGCCTCATCCTGCATAACAAGCATTTTTAACTCGTCATATGTTGTGCTTTTACCTTTGGTATTTTTAGATATAAATTCAATTGTTTGCACTGTTGGTACTGAGACCATCACTGCATTGAAAAACGCATCTCGTTTTTCCTCGTCTGATAGTGGAACGACCCCGGGTGAATTTTTATAGCTTCTAACCACGTCTTTAAATTTTTCGCAAAACTCAACAGCAGACATTTTACCAATAATGTATTTCATGTTATATAATTGTTTTCTTACTGCATGTGATGTTACATTTGTTTCGCATCTTTTAATTTCTTTCAATTTTACTAAAATTTCGATTGGATTTTGTAAATGTATGACTATTCCATGATAAGTTGAGTCTAAATGATTAATTAATATATCGCGTACTTTAAATCTTTGTTCGTCTAAAGTTTTCTCGTCTGTAATGTTTGTTGTAATTTTCTCGTCTATTATATGTAGTAAATCGTTTGATCTCAATTAAGAAGTTAAATAGTCAAAAAAATGTTCAAATTTAATATTGTTCGTTAATTTATAATCTCTTTTGATTCCCGCGCCTTTATTTATAATTTCAAATTTTACTGTTTCTTGTTTAGTTTTATTTGCATTGTTATTATTTGAATCATTTATTTTTATATTTTCAAATTGTTTCTTAATCATTTCTGCTATCTCATCTTTAAAATTTCCCTGTGTCATTGCACCATCAGACGATGACAAACCTATATTTACCTGATTGTAATCACTATACACTTGTTTTTGTAATTCTGTCATAGAATAAATAATTTTGCTCATCTTAAAATCGTTGAGTAGGTAGTCATCTCTCACCATATTGATTATAGTTTCAATTGATTTACCATTTTTTCTTTCTTCTTGAAATGATATCAATTGTTGTTTCATTAAGTTTGTAGTTTCTGCCAATTGGTCTATTGATTGAATTGACAGCTGGCACAACTTTGTTACTGATTTCATCAGTTCTCCCATCTTAAATTCCTGTTTTCGCATCTGATCTAAAACTGTTTTTACATTAAAATTAACAGGGTTATTGTTTTTATTTTTTCGACCTAGAGGTAGAGGGATTTAAATGGATTTTCTCATTCTTAATAATTTTGGGTTTAAAATTGTTACCTTCACGATTTTGCTGGGTCATCTGATTCCATTCTCTCATTCTCAACTCTTCTTTTCGTCTTTGCTCTTCTTCGCACCTTCTTTTGTTCTCATCTTTTTCAATTTTCTCTTCTTTCTCTTCTTTTTCCTTTTCCAAAATTTGTGAATTGTCCACATCTAAATTATCAACCGCACTCTCTATTGACTCGTCTAAATCTGAATTTGTCTCATCGTTATTTTCACTCATCTTTTCAGTGGAATCAGTATCTGCAATTTCGGGAAGTTTTCTTGGCATACGTAGATGATGATCATCAATTAGTCGTTTTTCGTACCATTCAATAAGTTTTTCCCATTAGTCGTCGTTGAACATTCTTTTCTCTGTGGAAGAATTTTCTTTAATTAGTAATGTTCAATTTGCCAATAATTTATTTCAGGTCAATCAACTGAACACACGTATGACTGATCTGAATAAAGTAAACTTGTAGGCAACTCGCAACTCGCAGTCGTCCGCGGAGATTGTGCATAACTTGCGTTCTTGATCCATTTTCCTATTATATGTTTTATAAAACTTTTTTTTCTTTTTCCTAGTATATGTTTTATCAAACTTTTTTTCTTAAAGTTACTACGACTTTAAGGATAACATTCTCATCACCTATTTTTGTTTGCTGATGATTGTAAGATTAAGTACACTGTTAAGAAAATTTTTAGTCCTGCTAATTAAAACTGTGAAATTATTCTTAATTACTTACTTTCTTCGCAGAAACATGGTTTGCTGAATTTTCGTCTATAATAGATTTACATGAAAAAAAAACTTTAATTTTTAGAAAAGTTTCAGGCTAAACATTCAATAAAGTGGGACATGTAAACCTTTACACAATTAATTTTAATATTGGATAGTAAATAATACTACGAAGTTTGCATGTAAATCTTTAAATATTTTTTAGGAAGTATTCAGCATCGGGTTCGTCACCTTGTCATCTTCACAACTAAACACGTCAATTACACCCTCACAGCACCGGGATATTCAAGATATCCCAGAGACGTCCTGGGGATATCGATTTGTTTTCGGAAGTTTGGATATCTCTGGGATATCCTAGGGACGTCCATGGATATCCAGAGGATATTCCAGGGATATCCAAACTTCCGAAAACAAATCGATATCCCCAGGACGTCTCTGGAATATCCTGAATATCCCGATGCTGTGAGGGCTTTAACTCCAGCCAAAAAAATTTTATTTTTCTAATAAAGAAACCAATATTGTCTGAATATTGACAAAACATGTTGTGATATTTTGTTGATGCAAAAGAAAATAATTTAAAAAAACGGTTAAAAGTGTTCTCTTTATTTTGCTGTAAACTACAGATTTTTAGAAAGGTTTTAACATTTCAGAAAATAAATTAAACTTTATAAAACAGTTAAGTTGGTATGGCCCAAAAACTTAAAAAAAAATTATGAAAAAATGTTATAGAGAAAAGTTGTTTGTATTTTCCTAATATAAAATAATATAAAGTTAAAAATTTGAAAAAATTGAGTTTTAAAAATTTTGAAACTACTGTAGTTTCTGTAGTTTTCAACAAAAATGGCTGGTTACTCTCGTGAACTTGAAATCATCAGCTCTTCTAATTTGCTTATATCAAACCACAACTAAACAAATCAAATTCAGCCAAAAATATAATATCTAATGATACCAATTAAATCTAATAACCAAGTACTAATCAACTATGAACTTCTTTATTTATTGAACCAATCCAAGAATTCATCTATTCATCTACAATTTTTACAAACCATTTTATTACCAGTATTCAATAAAACAATTTAAACTTTATAACCAAAAACCAATAGAACTTCCTTATAAACCAAATTTCCTTGATGGGGACCTGGAAAAAAAATAAAGAATTAATAATACCTGTACATCTGTATATCTAAGATAGCTTAAGAGCATTTGATCCATTATCACGTCAAAGATTTATAATAAAAATGTTTCCGGTTATCTGGTTAATAGAGTTTTAAATAGTTTTTAATAAAAGTTTTTAAAAAATATTATAAACGTTTAAATGCCCTTAATACAGGTGTATAAATATAAACAAATAAATAGATAGGAATATCCATAAATATGTTATAATTATAAATCAGACAAAAATCAGACAAATACATCTTATAAATCATTTAAATATAATTTTCGACTTTTTATCGTTCTCGCCCCTCATTTTGTTACAAATAAAAAATAAATAGACACGTATTTTTTTATTTTTATTTTAATTAATATTTAAAGGTACCTCAAAGCTGATAAATTTTTACATGTAGTTTAAATTGAAAAAACACTGTTTCATAGATTTATTATAAAATTGTCAATTGACTATTTGAATAGAAATATGAATTTTTTCTAACAAAAAAATGTGTAGATTTTTTGAATGTGTTTCAAAGGTAAACAATAAATAAACTTTGTTCCTTTGTGTTAAAATAAATAGAATTCTTTAAGAAAATAATGAGACTTGATAAATTGTGAATATTTAATATTCTTCAAGTTGCTTATTTTTTTTAAAATACATAATAAAGTTAATATTATTGTTCCATAGTTTAGGCAAAAAAAATCGTTTTTGATTTTTCGGCCTAAGAAATATAAATATACCGTAAACTGGAGTTATTTTGTGCACTAAATAATTTGCAATAAAAAGAATCTTTCATACATTAACATAATAATAATAAATAAAAATAAAAAAAGAATCTTTCATATATTAACATAATAATAATAAATAAAAATAAAAAATTACAAAAATCTTACCTCTTAACACTAGGGTAAGAATTCCTGAAGTGGGCCCCTATTTTTCATTGGGTCGGTGGATTTTTCTCATTCTTATATGTTTCGATAGCCTATGATGGCATAATAAAAACTTGTAAATAGTTTTCCGAAATTCGAATATTTGCCAAAGTTATTCAAGGTCAAAGTTATTTGTAGCGTTTTAGTAAATAGTTAATTACTCGCGATCGGATGAACCGATTTTAATAAAAATTGGAGGAGAGTTTACCTAAAGAATTGTACTTTAGATAAATGATCAAAATTTTAATTAAAAAATATAATTTGTTTAAATAAATTAACTTTTCAATTTTTGGGGTTAAAAAAAAATTTGTTCTCCATCTTTTTTTTGGATTTTTTTTTAATAATCAAATAGAGAATACTTTTAAGATTTTATTTCAACAATAAAAAAGTGGGATTCTCTATCACTTTAGAAAATATAATATTTTTAGTTACAAAATTTTTTGAAAAGTTAAAGAAATTTGAAGCAAAACAAATGAATGAACTAAACTTGGTTGGTTAAAATTGTCGAGTTTAGTTCATTCATTTGTTTTGCTTCAAATTTCTTTAACTTTTCAAAAAAATTTGTAACTAAAATATTATATTTTCTAAAGTGATAGAGAATCCCACTTTTTTATTGTTAAAATAAAATCTTAAAAGTATTCTCTATTTGATTATTAAAAAAAAATCCAAAAAAAAGATGGAGAACAAATTTTTTTTTAACCCCAAAAATTGAAAAGTTAATTTATTTAAACAAATTTTATTTTTTAATTAAAATTTTGATCATTTATCTAAAGTACAATTCTTTAGGTAAACTCTTCTCCAATTTTTATTACAATCGGTTCATCCAATCGCGAGTAATTAGCTATTTACTAAAACGCTACAAATTACTTTGACCTTGAATAACTTTGGTAAATATTCGAATTTCGGAAAACTATTTACAGGTTTTTATTATACCATCATAGGCTATCGAAACATATAAGAATGAGAAAAATCCACCGACCCAATGAAAAATAGGGGCCCACTTCAGGAATTCTTACCCACTATAAAAATTCACTTTGCGTGTAATTCTTTTTTTTAATTTTTACAATTTCTTTAATTCACATTCATCACAGCACTACGAACACTATCAAGAAGGGAACAAAAACGGCGTAGCATGACTGCGCGCGCACAAAGATGTATTTTCGTGTCAATTATTATTTTTAATTTAAAAATAAAAAAAATTTATCAATAAACAAAAACTTTTTTTAATTAAGCTGTATTTCGATGTTTTTTCTCCAACTTTAAATTAACATTTATTTTCTAATCTAATTTATTTATTTAATTAAATTATATATAAATTAATACAACAAAACAATGCACCAATAGAAAGCGTTGTCGCCAATACTTTTAGCCATAAGCAAGCGTTGTCGCCGATACTTTTAGCCAATAGCGAGCGTTATCATCGAATTCTAGCCAATAGCGACCGTTATCATCGTATTCTAACCAATGACGAGCGTTATCATCTTAGCAAGAACAAATATTAAGCATTTTTATCGAATTTAAGCCAATGGCAAGCGTTATCATCTTATCTTGACCAACTTGACCAATAGCAAGCGTTATCATGTCATAAAATAGCAGATTTCTTATATAGGATCATTCCTAAACTTTTTATGATTGAAATCTAAAATTTAATATTCCTCCCTACGATAATAGAAATTACTCAAATGATTTTATATTCAGTCCGAAATCTGAATTTTCATTTTTCTCCGTGGTATAAACATACTCCTCCCCCTCTACGCAATTCCCTATATTTACAAAAAATATAGTAGTTATTAAGTTCTACTAAATTGCAAGTAACTGTTGGTGATTACCAGGTCTCAGAAACAACAATAATATTATAGAATTCGTTGTTGATAAAAATCCTTAAATTCAATAAAATGTTCCTGAACTGATTGGGCGTTGACATGGCAAATATTCAAGAACTCGAATACAATTTAAAAAAGTAAAAACAATCTACACGATTCAAAGAATTAATTCCAAACATAGTAATGATCTCATTGTTACGAACCGGAAAATATTTAAATAATTAATATAGTTAAATTAACTATATAGATTATTTTGGGCCTTTGAGATGGCCTTATTTCAAGTCAGTCGGAGGAATTCAAACTGCCAGAGCGTGAGCTCTGTTTATCTTACTGGGATTCGTTATTCCTGTTACTTGTAAAATTCAGAATTTAATTAGAGAAGGGGGGGGGGTAAGGAAGATGTAGAAAAATTAATAGAAAGAAATAGAAAGAGAATTAAGAATAATAATTATAATTTATTATAAAGTAGAAAAGAATTCATCCGTCCCTCAAACAATAAAAAGAGGGGGGGATGGGGTAAAACCAAACCAGAACGATACAGTGACTTACCAGTTCTGGAACTTAGAATCTACCGCCTTGAAGTCTTCTTCAGGCGGGCGAAAATTCACAATTTTTATTCACACACGCACAAAATAGTTTTTTTTTTAAATTTACTATATTCCTAATTTCTTTCCAAACCTTCGAATACAGGGCGGACGCGGTAACTTTTCGAAACCGGCCGGTCTTTCAACAAGAAAATATTACTTTAAATAAATTTACTTCACTGTCTCAAATTTTGAAAAACGGCCTCCGTGGACTTCGGAGTAAGTTGGTATTTTAGTTTTCGTCCGACCAAATTGTTCGTGTAAGCCCACAACCAATTTGGGCCCTTGGTACCGGACGGGAACGTTATAGGTTAAGAATATTTCTTTTATTCCTATAACAGAGTTTTAGCCTCTGTGGTTGCGGAAACCGAACTGAACGATTATTATGTCTAATTAATGTGCTTTTATAGTTTTACTTCTTTAAGAAATATGGAAAGGTGGGGACAGGGCGTTGGACCTGTTGCCATGCCAAAACTGCTGGACTTGCTTTTTTTGCAAGTGTAAGTTCAGTGCACTATGTGGAAATGCATTCCTTTTCTTTTATTCTTAGAAAGAACATTTTTAATATTCTTTTAATTTTGGAAACAAATATTAATTTGTTTATTTATTTTTCAAATTAATTCTTATTTTTCATTGTTTTTGTAAATCGGATTAATGGACATTTCGAAAATAAAAATTCCATTCTATTTTGTAACCCTTAAAATATTGTTACAAATCCAATCAGTTGTACTAGGAATCATTTCAGTATTGCATCGAATCTTTCTGCAAGTATGCAATTTTATGGCGGGCAAGGTTTGTAAGTTAAGTTTTTATTGGAAGGTAAAGGATAAATTTTTAAAAAGAAAATAATAATAATAACCCAATACGTTCCGTCCATATAAATAATAAAGAATTGTTAATTATGAATAAAATTTTAAATTAAGACCGGGACATTATTCACCCCATTTCTAAGGTCCAGGAAACTAAGAAAATACATCATAATGTATTGCCGTTGGTTCGAGAGAGAAGCATAATGGGAGAGAATGAGTGCGACATAGTGCAATATGTTCGAGAGAGAACACTTTTTTGATGTACACTCCATTGCTACACATTATCTTCTTTCTCTCTCGCACAATGTCAAGGGGAGCGCGGAGAGCCTTCACTCAACGCGTTGAGTGAAGCCTCTCGTCTATTCTTCGTACATGTACGTAGAACGAACGAATGCCTTCCCCCTGAAGTTGCTGCAGAAAAATGAAAATTTGTTGTGAGACTTGAGATTCCTTATCCCATGCCTAAAAATTTGACATGTGTTTTGATGTCATCGATGGTCATCGTTATAAACATTAAACAGTTTGTCTAACTATTACATTAAAGTGGAAAATACATTCAAAGTTTAAAAAAATTGCTTGGGAGGTAAAAAAATTAGTGCTTAATGTGCGGTGGAAAATACTTTCATATTGGTAAGTAGAAAAAAATGTTGATAATAAAAAAAATAAATTTAAAAAATGGTTGAGTTTAAAAAAAAGTAAATAACAATTTTAACATAAATAAAGTTTTTTTTTAATTAATTGATTTAATAAATAATTTAAATATCGAAATAAATTAAATAATTAGTTAATTAAAAAAATAAATAAATTTAAAGTAGGAAATTTGTTTTTCAATTCATAACCTTTAAAATTAATAAAATAAAAAGGTTAAAATATTTTTATTGCATATTGTTAAAATGTAATGATTTATTTCGTTCATTATTATAAATTAATGTAATTAATTAATCATAACAAATTTTATTAAATATTGGTAATTTATTAACAAAAAATTAACAATTTAAAATTAATTAATCTTTAAAAACAATTGTCTGTAATAAAAAAAATTATTCATTAATTAATTACAAACATTTCAAATAATTTTTTTTAATAATTATAATTTTTATAATTATTATTAGTTATCATTAAATTAGCTTTCACTATTTCAAAAAAAATGTCTTTAATAAAAATTCGAAAATTTTGCCTCAGAAGTAATAAAATTTAATCTCTAAAGAATAATTTTTTAATAATAAATTGTAGTAAGCCGGAATTTGGTTTTATTTTCTTTAAATATTCTTTTTTTTATTCAAATAATTGAAAATTTTCTGCTTCTGTGGGTGGAGGCCATACAAAAGTTTTAAGAAGCGGCCGAATTAATTGATGCGGAAAATCGTATGAAGAAAACAATGTGGGGACAATTTTGGTTAATGCCACATCAATTTTCCAAAAATAAAGCACTACATATCCGTGGCCCGCGAGGATGTCAAATGCGGAAAATGCGTTGTCATTGGCCTTCAATCCACGAAGCACGTATCGTGGAACAATTGGAACGAGATGGTGGCGAATTGTCTCTACTGCAAAGTAAGCTTTTCATAATTTTTTCTCATGTATTTACATTTTTAATTTTTCTTATCGGATCTTACATTTATCCTGTCAGATTTTCAAATTTCATGGAGAAACATTTCCCCGCACTACATCGTAACTGAATTCGTCATATGTGATTTGACACAGTCTCACAGTGTAGAGGAAGTTGAATGGATCTCGCGGTGGTTCGAGCCTTGTCATCGGAGGATGAGATTTCAGAGAAGGGACGAAATGGAGGGAAGAGGAATTTGAGTGGATCTTGCGATGGTTCGAGCCTTGTCATCGGAGAATGAGATTTCAGAGAAGGGACGAAATGGAGGAACACAGTTTAGGCTCTGAATTTAAATTGTCACAAAGCAGGATTCAATGAAGCTTTGTGAATTTTTTAAAATTTATATCAATTAGTTTTTGTTTACTGGGTCGTACCTAAAATTTGAAAATTTTTATTTTTTCTTAATTTTAATTTTCCTTTGTCACTTTATACGAAAAATCAATATGTAAAAAGATTTTGCAAAAAAGAGAATTTTTAACTCTTGTTATTAACAAATTAAAAATTTCTATTACTTTTCAATTTAAAAAAAATTTATTGACTGATTTCAATGATTTAACCGATATTATTTTTGTCTTGAATGCAAATTTAAAATACAAATTTTTCTGTTTGAATACATTTTATTTTATAAATTTTATCCATGAAATTTTAAGTTGAAAAAAATTTGAATTATTCTTTAAACGTTTCTAATTTATATTCTGAAGTGAAAAGTAATACAAAATTTCAATAGTTAACAACAAGAGTTATAATTCAGAAATTCTTAATTTAATTCTAAAAATTTGGAAAATTATAAAAAATATAAATAAATCGAAAGTGCAAAAAGTCCTGTTTATTAAAGTTCACTTTTCTTAGAAAAAAAATTATTAAAACAATTCTTAGTAAAGTTTCTTTAAAATTTATTACATTTTTATAGGCTAAGCATTTTTCAAAGAAGAATTTTCTACTAAAAATATTTTACGACTATTCGGATCAAAAAATGCGGAAATTTCTTGTCTTTCAAGTCGACTATTCTCAGGAAAAAAGAAATATAATTATTAAAACAATTCATAGCAAAGCTTTTAAAAAAATTTATTACATTTTTATAGGCTAAGCATTTTTCCAACAAGATTTTTCTACTGAAAATATTTTACGACTATTTCGAGCAGAAAGTGCAGAAGTTGACTTTTCAAGTTGACTTTTCTCAGGAAAAAAAATTATGCAAATAATTCTTTGCAAAGCTTTTTAAAAATTTATTACATTTTTATAGGCGAAGTATTTTTCAAAGAAGATTTTTCTCCTGAAAATATTTTACGACTTTTCTGAGCAGAAAGTGTAGAAGTTCCTTGTCCTTCAAGTTGACTATTCTCAGGAAACAAGAAATATAATTATTAAAACAATTCTTTGCAAAGCTTTTAAAAAAATTATTACATTTTTATAGGATAAACATTTTTCCAACAAGATTTTTCTATTGAAAATATTTTACGACTATTCGGATCAGAAAATGCGGATGCTCCTTGTCCTTCAAGTTGACTAATATCAGAAAAAAAGAAATACAATTATTAAAACAATTCTTTGCAAAGCTATTTTGAAATTTATTAGATTTTTATATTTTTATAGGTTAAGTACTCTTCAAAGAGAATTTTTCTCCTAAAAATATTTTACGACTATTTCGAGCAGAAAGTGCAGAAGTTGACTTTTCTCAGGAAAAAAAATTATGGAAAAAAATTATGAAAATAATTCTTTGCAAAGCTTTTTAAAAATTTATTACATTTTTATAGGCGAAGTATTTTTCAAAGAAGATTTTTCTCCTGAAAATATTTTACGACTATTCTGAGCAGAAATTGTAGAAGTTCCTTGTGCTTCAAGTTGACTATTCTCAGAAAACAAGAAATATAATTATTAAAACAATTCTTTGCAAAGCTTTTAAAAAAAATTATTACATTTTTATAGGCTAAACATTTTTCCAACAAGATTTTTCTATTGAAAATATTTTACGACTATTCGGATCAGAAAATGCGGATGCTCCTTGTCCTTCAAGTTGACTAATATCAGAAAAAAAGAAATACAATTGAGGGCGTGGATCGGATAACTGCCCGTAGCGCATGGCCGAAAGGGACTATACCAGTCAGACAGCAGTGAGAGGCCTAGAGGCGCTCACTGTTGTCTGACTGTTATAGTCCCTTTCGGCCATGCGCTACAGGCAGTTATCCGATCCACGCCCTCAATTATTAAAACAATTCTTTGCAAAGCTATTTTGAAATTTATTAGATTTTTATATTTTTATAGGTTAAGTACTCTTCAAAGAGAATTTTTCTCCTAAAAATATTTTACGACTATTCCAAGCAGAAAGTGCAGAAGTTCCTTTTCCTTTAAGTTGACTTTCCTCAGGAATAAAAATTATGAAAATAATTCTTTGCAAAGCCTTTTTAACATTTATTACATTTTTATAGGCGAAGTATTTTTCAAAGAAGACTTTTCTCCTGAAAATATTTATTGATTATTCCGCGCAGAATGTGCAGAAGTTCCTTGTCCTTCAAGTTGACTTTTCTCAGAAAAACGAAATATAATTATTATTAAAACAATTTTTTGCAAAGCTATTTTTAAATTTATTAGATTTTTATAGACTAAGTACTCTTCAAAGAAAATTTTTTTCCTGAAAATATTTTACGACTATTCCGAGCAGAAAAGTTTAGTAGGATTTCACTAATTAAAAGTCACTTATTTCACTAAATGAATTAGTAAAACTGTTTTATCGACTATTAATAAAACAGTACTACTAATTGTTAGTAAAATTCTACTAATCAATTAGTAATTGATCAATTAGTAATTTGTTTATATTTTCTCTCATTTATTCATTTATTCATAAATTTATTTATTTATCCACATAGTCCCGTCATAAACTATGCACCATTATATCTCGTTTTTATTTACAATTCATTTATACACCCAATCATCGTTGCTGATAGTCAGTTTAACATATCGTTGAAAAATTCAGTCATTTATTCATCAATTTAACCAATCATACATTCTTCGACTGATCCATTCAATCATTGAAAATTACAACTATTCCTTACTTATCAAATAATCTATTCATTCAATCATCCATTCGTCTAATTATACATTTAACAGTCGTTCTCTCATCACTTTATCCAATCATTTATTCGTCCAGAGATTCATTTAACCATTCATCAGAACATCCAGACACTGATTCATCCATTCAACGAGTCGTCAATACATTCAATAATTGGCTTATTATTTTATTTACTCATCAAGCCACTTTGTCATATATTATTAATTTATTTAGTTTTCCATTCATTTTAACCATTTTTTATTTCTTTTTAATTCAATTTTTCGGATTAAAAAATTTTGTTTTTTAATGTGATGCTTATTATATAAATATATAATTTAAAACAATTATTTTTACAGTATATATTCTAGGAAAGAAAGAAAGTGAAGAACAACGGACAAGAGATAACTTAATCTCGATCATCAGAGCCATGTGTGGAACACTGCGCCATAAAAAAATTAGAAAATACCTAAACAAGTTGATGAAGTTCAGTAAAATGTTAATAGTTTATCTTGTTATTATTTAAAATAAATAATCCAAAATTAAATAATGATACTTTTAATAAAAATTATCTTATAGAAATATCCAATATTATAGAATTATACTGTAATATAATTTAAAATATTTTAAACATTTAATATTGTAAATATAATATTTGATAAATAAAAATATGAATATAAGTAACACTTGAAAATATGAACACTTAAATTTTAAAAATTACACTAACAGAATAAAAAAATAAGATTAATCATGATTTATAGTTTTATGAACTAGTTGACGTTTTTAATAAGGTATAATAATTTACAAATTTTGTGTTTTATTCCCACCTTTTTTTTAAAAACCCCTTAGTATCAAAATATTAATGTGACCAAATCACTCCTGTTTCGTCTACAATCAACAGAAATGCAAATTTTATTTATAAAAAATTACATTTCAATTATTAAAATTAAGATCCCAAATGTCCAGAATATAGGCCTTAGTTATGGGACACTCATGACATTTTGCTCGTTTTTGCTGATATCTATGGACAGGTTATATTTATATCGACAAGTCTTGTATCATTCGAAAGAGGATCCAAAATTATTATTAATTTTATACAAATCTTTTTTTCTGCCACAACGTAAAACTGTCACATTTGGAAACACTACATTTATTTCACAGGTTTACAAATTAAAAACTTTTTTTTGCCAATCGAACAAAACAATTTTTTTTCGAATAGTAGGTGTTTTTTAAGTAAGAAAATCATAGTTTTAATTTTTTTCCCTCGTGCAGTTTTTCTGTAGCTTCAAATTTTGCATTTTCGAGGTGCGACGTCACTTAAACTTACCTGTAGGAAAATTAGCTTGTCAAAATATAATAAATGAGGTATCATTGGAAAGGTTATTAAATTACCTTTCGATACATAGGTCACAGAATAAAGTTCAACAAAAAACGAGAGAGTTACAGTCGATTAAAGATGAAATTTCATGACAATTTTGATGATTTTTAGACATTTGAGTAACTTCTACTATTTTTTTCTACATCAAACAGGAAAGAATGTTTAGGTTTTAATTTTTTTATTGATAGACTATATCATTACACAAATTTTGAGCCCTTGTGGACCTCGATTGGATTAAAAATGACAATTCTACACTAAATTTAGTGAACGAAACTACATTCTTCATTTTTAGTATCCCTTAAACATTTGCAGCAAAAATTGAAGTAATAAAATTTAGTTAAGCTCTAAAGTTAGTAAAATCACTAATAAAGGATTTCTGAAATCGTAGATTTCGAATCCAATGTTAGTTTTCTAAATTTCAAAATGGCGGATCCAATATGGCGTCACGTTTTTAAAAATCGATTAAATTCGTCTTAAATTCGTTACTCGGGGGTTTTCGGGGTCGCTGATTACGAATCTGATGTCAGATTTTAAAAATTAAAAATGGCGGATCCAATAGGTGCAAATTCGATGGATTTTAAAAAACTCGTTCACCATTATGAATCCATCCTTTTCAATTTTCGAAATCCGACATCAGATTCGTAATCAGCGACCCCGAAAACCCCCGAGTAACGAATTTAAGACGAATTTAATCGATTTTTAAAAACTTGTCCGCCATATTGGATCCGCCATTTTGAAATTTAGAAAACTAACATTGGATTCGAAATCTACGATTTCAGAAATCCTTTATTAGTGATTTTAGTAACTTTAGCACTTAACCAAATTTTATTACTTCAATTTTTGCTGCAAATGTTTAAGGGATACTAAAAATGAAGAATGTAGTTTCGTGCACTAAATTTAGTGTAGAATTGTCATTTTTAATCCAATCGAGGTCCACAAGGGCTCAAAATTTGTGTAATGATATAGTCCATCAATAAAAAAATTAAAACCTAAACATTCTTTCCTGTTTGATGTAGAAAAAAATAGTAGAAGTTACTCAAATGTCTAAAAATCATCAAAATTGTCATGAAATTTCATCTTTAATCGACTGTAACTCTCTCGTTTTTTGTTGAATTTTATTCTGTGACCTATGGATCGAAAGGTAATTTAATAACCTTTCCAATGATACCTCATTTATTATATTTTGACAAGCTAATTTTTCTACAGGTAAGTTTAAGTGGCGTCGCACCTCGAAAATGCAAAATTTGAAGCTACAGAAAAACTGCACGAGGGAAAAAAATTAAAACTATGATTTT